ACAGATTTTGTGGCTTGGAGTCAAGACCGTTAGTATACTTAATTCAGAAGTTGACTATCTGCCAACATGGGTTGATTGTGCTAAGGGCCTATGTGCTATGGGGCTGTAGAACACTGTCCACCTGGGAATCGAGAGTCAGAGTCATGCAGCCATCACTTGTCTGCACTGGAAAGATGGCACTGGAAAGGAAACTCACTTGTGTTCCCACACCTAGGAAGGAAGAGAGCTGTGGTGTGGGAAGAATGCACATTTAGGCCTCAGGAATGCTAAGAGTACATCGTCCAAGTTGCACCCCCAGCCCAGAAGGCAAAGCCTGACTGGTGTCAGGAAAATAAAAGGAAGGAGAGTATGTGACATTACAGCATGTACACTGTAAACTCCCTGTCTTTGGTGGGGGGGTACTTTTCTCACTGCTGAGTCAAAATACTCAGCACCTGAAGTTGAAGAGGAAAAGATTTATTTGGCTCACAATTTGTAGACGTTTCAGTCTAGTCAGCTGGCTCCAAGGCAGGTTGGCATGGCAGAAGAGAAATCGTCCATGGTAGGCAGAAGACAGCAAAAGCAAGCAAGTGAAACAGAAAACCATCAAGGGGACAAGGGCAGGTTCTTTCTGCCCTTTTTATATTCTAAGCTACCTGCCTTAGGGTGGGTGCCAAACCTCAGCGGGACTAATTTAGTAATCATGAACCCATAATCCCAGCACACACACCCCATATCCAGCCACTTCTGAAAAAGCCTCACCTAAGACATGAGGCTTTAGGGGGATATCTAGACACAAGCCTTCACATTCTGCCCCTGGCTCCCCCAAAGACTCATGCATATTGCTTTAGGCAAAAGGCATTTAGTCCATTTCCAAGAGTTGCCAAAGTTCTAACAGTTTCAGCATTGCTGAAAAGTCCAAGTCCAAAGTCTTTGAGATTTAAGGCACAACTCAGCCTTGAGCCCCCATACAAATAAAAATTAAATACTTCCAACATACAATAGCACAAGATAGATATTTCCATTCAAAAAAGTACAAAGAGGAGGACAGGATGAATGGGAACAAAGAAAGTCCAAAATCCATCAGGACAAACACTAAATCCCATAGTCCCATGTCCAGCATCCAAGGCAATCTTGCAAAGTGTGAACTCCAAAGGGCTTGGGTGGCTCCACCCCTACCACACCACGGGTGGCTGTAGCTCCCATGGCTTCTCTCTGGGGCCAGCTCTGCTCCCTCTTTGCAGTTTTCCTCAGACAATTTAAGTCCCTGGCTTCTCCAAACATCTGGGGTCTCCAGTGATCCTTTAGTTTCACACAGCTGCACACACTGCCCTCTGAGAGGCACACTGCCTGGCCTCCCAGGCCTTCTGAAATCCGGGTGGAACCCTTCCTGATCCCACAACTCTTGCATTCTGCTTGCACCTAAAACCAGCACCACATGGGTGGCGATGCCAGGGTCTGCCATCAGTTGGAGCAGTAGCCAGGCTTCCCTCTCTGTTGGCTGAGAGGTGGAGTGCCTAGATGGCTAAGCACTGAACACAATCCTGAGGAACAAACTCCCTAGGCCACACCATTCTGGAACGCGGTGCTCCAGGGCTCTCTTCTCAGAGCAGTCTTTAACAGTTTTGATTTTGAGGCTGCAAAGTCTGGAGTCCCGCTGCTTCCTGTGATGTCCTCAGGCCATCTGTCCCATTCTCGAGTTCCTTCTCAGCGATCAAGATCGCCTCTGCTCTATCTCTGCAGTCCACAGCTTTACTGGAGCTTCCCTTCTGGCCAAGCTCACATTTTAAATCATTCTTCTAGCCTCTTTGCTCTTGATTCTCAAAATAAGTCTGGCTGAGTGCCCTAACAGTGGCTACACCATCACCTCAACATTAGACTGTCTTGAAAGGTCGTCTGCAAGATTAATTAGTCTGCCATTCATCTCGGTCTCAGGCAAAGTCTCTGGACATGAGCAAAATGCGGACAAACTTTCTGCCACGGGATAACACACATCTGGAGTCCAGCAGTCCATGTAGTCCTTCTCAGCAGCATTTCTAACAGCACTCTGGTATTCTGACCAGAATCTCCCATCAAGTACAGCCTCAGGGATTCCAGGGCTTTTTCAGCCAGCATTTCTGTACCTTTCCAAACTCTTCTCACAAGCCAGTCCCAAAGGCTCCTGAACCACATGGTGAGGTACAGCTACAATTATGACCCCGCTTTTCTGGTAAAATTCTGTATCAGTTGGTGTTTACTAGAGAAACAGATACAAGACATACAAGTATGTAAGAACTGGGCCAGGGAGGTAGCTCCGTGGTGCAGCACTTGCTTGGCAAGCACGAGGCCTTGAGTTTGGCTCCTGGATAAAAAAAAAGAAACCCCAGAAACAAGTTATATAAGGACATACAGACTGGCTTACGATGGCTGCCTACAGAGCTGGGAAAAATGGGTGGAGGAAGTGCCGAAGGTCTGTCTGCACACTGGAGATCCAGAGACTCTAGTTGAAGTCTTGGAGCTCCATGCAGTGTCCTGAGCGAGTCTGCACCAGGAGGCCAAAGTGTCCACACTGGAAGCCAGGAGACAGACAGCAGCTACTCCTGAAGACAGAGGGAGCCCCTCCTTCCCTTTCCCTCCTAGGGTGGGCCTTCCACACCCAGAACTATGCTGAGCCAATTGATTTGCATATTTTTCCCAGACCTGGAGGGTCCAAGATCAAGGCCGTCTGAGGGCCTGGTCTCTGCTGAGACGGTGCCCTGTTGCTGCTGCCTCAGTAGAAGGAATGAAAGGGCGAAAAGGGTGCCCAGGCCCTGTAGAAGGGCACTAAAGTCCAGCCACAGGGGTGAACCCTTGGGACTCATTTCCTAATGGTACCCACATCTCTTTTGCTTCTTAAAAAATGTCTTTATTTGTTGTAGATTATGGGATAAAATGTTTTGATACATGTGTATATTGCATAATGTTGAAATCAAGCTAATTAATATAGCCATCACCTCCCATACATTTTTGTACCTCTCTTCATGGTGTCATGGTGACTGAGATCGGCACATCAACTGCAGGGACATTCAGATCACAGTATCACTCAGCAGTGTCATATTTGCATAAACATGAACTGAAAAAGGACTCGCAATAGGAATGCACACAGAAAATGTGGCATGGAATATTATTCAGCCATGAAGAGAAATGGAATTCTAATACATAGAGGGATAAACTCTGACAAGTTGCTGAATGAGCTAGACCAGACACAAAAGGATAATTGCTTTATGACTCCACTTATATGAAATGTGGAAAAGGCACATTCCTGTGTCAGAAAGTAGACAGTGGTTACCAGGGCCTGGCATTCGGAGGATGGGGAGTCATTCTTTTTGCGGGCACAGAGGAAACGGAAATTTTGTGATGGCAAAAACAGGTATGGAGAGTGGCCACACTGAATGTTATTGATGCTCTGGATGGACACTTAAGACACTTAAAAACGGTTAAAATCGTAAATTTATGTATATTTTGCCCAGTGAAAGAGGTGAAAAATCAAGAGTTCAGAATTAAAACATCCTGTTTCCCACCCACAAACCAAAACAACAACAACAACAAAAAAACAAAAACAAAACAATGAAGGTTGTACTGCTGAATGTCACATCCAGGGAGGGAAGACTACGTAGTGATTTCCTCAGGATTGTCCTTGCAAAAGGGAAGACATGCTTAAACTGAGGGCATGGAGACTCCCTATTGCTGCTTATTGACAAGTACAAAGAGGCAGAGTGAGGACTCGAAAGAATACAGAGAACCTGAATTTAAAAAAAAATGTTCTTTGCAGCTGGGTGTGGTGGCACACGCCTGTAATCCCAGCATTTAAGTGGCTGAGGCAGGAGGATCTCTGTGAGTTCAAGGCCAGCCTGGGCTACATAGTGAGTCTAAGGCCAGCATAGGGAGAACTTGTCTCTAAAAACAACTAACAAAAATGTTCTCTGTGGCCACTCCACTGAGTGGAAGAAGGCAGAGCTTCCTCTGTGGAAGGCGAGATTAACAGTCCTAGTTTATGTCTTTCACTTCTGGTAAGGTGACTGACCAGAAATGGTAAAATCGTTAATAGTTGGGAATGTTTTGAATGTTCTGATTTTTTTCTTTCCCACTGTCCCATAACTAGTACTCTGGACTTTTCCTGCAGAAAGCATCCAAGGATTTTCCTAGCAGGCCCAAACCCAGTGTTTGCAGACCTCCTTCTCACCCAAGAAACTCTCAAGTATCTTTCTGTTCTTCTATTCCTTCATTTGTAATACTACACGGGTTCTGAGTCTGGAAGTCCATTACTGGCTGGAGTAATAATTAGTTACTTAATATTATTTTATATAGCATCTCAGCTTAATCTTCATGATAACAATTGAATTAGGTATACTTTGACTTCCCAAATTAAGAAAACCGAGCTACAGAAAGTTCACACAGCTACTGAGTAGGAGAAGCCTTTGCAGCCATCCTAACACCTGGATGAATGACAGGAGGAAGTGAGGGCAGAAACAGGTGGGAAGGAAGCGGGAGTCAGGCTTCCAGGCTCAGGGACATCCCAGGACAGACGCTGCCTCTCTGATGACAGGCCTTCCGCGGTTGCGGGCGCCCAGGGCCAGCACACGGCAGTCCGATGGTACCAGTCATGTTCCAGCGTTACTGTGCTGTGTGCTAGGAGGTGCAGCCCTCACACAGAAGGTTCATCAGACATTGCATTCTCCTCAAGGACAGTGCCTCCATTTCCTTATTTGACTAATTCTCCTTCTAACTGATTGGCTTCAGGTCCAATAAAGTCTACTGCGAATCTGCTAATGATCTCTATCAGTGGCTCTTGAGGCTGACTTTGTATCGGAATTACCTGAGGGCTTCTTAAAGCAGACTTTGCCCCAAGGTCTGAGGCAAGCCTGCAGCACCTGAGGACGTACATTCCTACAAGTTTTCAGGTGTTCCAGATGCTTCTGTTCCACAGACACACTGAGACCCACATTCTTTAGCTTTCCCTGGACACTAATGATTCCACTGAAGGCAAGAATTCTATTGTATCAATTTATTAAATGAACATCTCAAATTTATGTAGTAAACATCAGCCACTACTTGAGCAAGGTTCACTACTGTTGTGATTATTCACAAATTAAGGAAATTTTACCTGTAGTGGTGCAAATAAAATCAATCTCACTAGTACTTTTCAGCACTTCATACCTCAAAATTCCAGCAAGCTAACTGAGCCTATAGCTTGCTATTCACAAGACCAGGCAGGGTTTTAACAGAGAAGCCACCATCAAAAGCTGCATTAAGAACTTCATCTAGGCAGCTTGCTGTGACAAAATTTAAATTCTGTCGCACATTGCTTGGGATTTCTTCGAGGTTCTTTTCATTCTTCTGAGGAATAATGATCTGCTTCAGTCCTGCTCTGTGTGCTGCCAGCACTTTGTCTTTGATTCCACCCACCTGTAAGGAGAGAGAATGGTTTTAGAGTTTATGCTCACCCTCAGGCTGCCTCTCCATCAGTAAGAATCAAAACCATCTTCCATTCTGTTGTAGCAAAAGCCAGGAAAGCATTCAACTGAGGTTACTACACAGTAACCTAAAATTTGTAAAGTGTTGTAACTTTTAATAGGAGAGGAGAAAATTCCAAGTTTTCATAGGCACAGGCATCTCTTCTGTCGATGACTTTTTATTATCTAGGTTAAGCCATTCCATTCTTTAATCACAACAAATTTGTCTTTAGGATGAAAAAAATTATTAATTACCTTATTTTGACCATAAATACTATTCCTAGACAGAAGAATTTAGAATGTCTTCACCATAAAGAAATGATAACTGAAGAGATACAGTAGATTTAATCTGGTTTAAACATTATACAATATATATAGGGCTGGGGGATTTAGCTCAGTGGTGCCGACGCCTGTCTCACAAGCACAAGGTCCTGAGTTCGATCCCCAGTACCAAACAAAAAAACCAAACCAAACCCCCCAAAACAAACAAAAAACCCAAAACCCAATGTATATATACATACACTGAACATTACACCATACCCCGTCGGTATTTGTATATTTATGTATCAGTTAAAAAATTTAAAAATTAAAATAAGTGTGGTTGCCAACAAGAAAATACTGTTCTACAGAGCTTAGTTGTGTGCCAGGAATGTATCTTTTCTCTGCACCCCTTGGTGAAGAAAATGCACCTCAGAGTTATCTGGGCTCCTATGGTAGCTTAAATATATACCCACAGTGTCCTCTCCCACAAGGTGGAGTCTACCTCCCTCCTCCTAAATGTGAGCCAGGCTTGTGATGGGATTGTGAAAAACTGCAAGGTGGGGGATGTTATAAAGCTTTCAAGGTTATGTCAGAAAACACAAGAGCTTTCCCAAGTGGGTTCCTCTTGGATCACTTGCCCTGTGCTTGAGGTCACCACCCACACAGCTTGCAGAAAGGCTCCGAAGAGGCAGTGGGATTCCTGCCCCCAAGCAGCAATGATTCACCAGTACTACGAGTGAGCAGCCCCAGACCCAGGTCCTCCAGCCTCAGCCAGCTTTCTGATGACTGCTACTTGGCGGGGAGCTTGAGGGTAAAAGGAGAGATCCTGAGTCAGAAGGCAGGTGGGTCGCTCCTGAATGCCTGAGCTACAGAAAATTTGAAAATCATTACTATCTGGGGCAACAGAGAACAAATGCAGGCCTCAGTCACATCTCCTAGAACATGTGACCCTAGGGCAGCCCCGGCCACCTCCTCCAGTGGGGCGGCTGCTGTTAGGCCTTCCACACAGCTGCTACCCACCCCACTGGCTTCCAGGAATCTTTGAGAGCTTTCACCATGCCCCTGAGCACACCTCCAATATGCCTTCCTCACAAAGCGTGTACAATACCAGCTCCTCTGGCATGTACAAAGTGTCTATTCTGCTCTCATACTTGCTTGATAGCAGGGCCTTGAATACAAGACTGCATCTAACATCACTTTCACTCAAGAGTTTTGAAGATGACACACCTCTGGGTCACTGATAAGAAAACTTTGGTGCTATGGCTTAGATCTGGATGTCCCCCCAAAGCCTCACGCACTCATAGGAGGGGTTTGGGGTGGGAGTTGAACTGTGGGTGTATGATACTGGATTAGTCCACTGGTTTAATATAATTCAGATGATGGACTTATTGAAGAGAGAAGCCCTACCCTGGTGTGCGTGGCATCAACCATTAGGCTTATAGCCTGGACAGAGTTGGAGAGAAGGCAGGCAGGCCGCTGCTGTCTGCTGTCTGCCTGCCCTGCCATGGACGGTTTCTCCTCTATCACGCTGCCCTGCCCTGGAGCCAGCCAACTATGGACTGAAACCTCTACCAACTGTGAGCTACATAAACCTCTCCTCCACTTGTGGGTATTGGCTATTGTGTCCCAGCAATGAGGAAGTAACTAAGACAACTTGATGATCTAAAAGCCTGGTTAATATAGACTCTTTCAGTCCAAACATATCTTCAATTCTAGGAAACTTTTCCACTGTTTTTTTGACAACTTGCTCTGTTTCATTTTCCTGTTTAATACAACTCTTCTTAGATGCTGGACCTGTTAGACTGTTTTTACTCTAAGTTTTTTCTGAGTACTTTAACCAATTCTAAAAACACACTTTTAGTCCAAAGCTTTGTCTTATCTTTGTTCTTCAATTATTTTCTTCAGCCTTACCAGGTCTTTTAAGTATCATGCCTTTCCTTCATTTATTTTTTAGTAATTTAAAACTGAAACCTGTCAGGTGTGGTGGCACATGCCTATGATCCCAGCACCCTGGGAGGCTGTGGCAGGAGGATCACAATTTGAGCCCAGCCTGGGCCACTGAAGTGACTCAGGCCCTGGCTCAAAGTAAAAACTGAAAACGGGCCAAGGATGTAGATCAGTGTGAAGGACCTAGGCTCAGTCCCCACTACTGCAAAACAAACAAAAAACTGCCGCTTACTCAAAGCTGCTGTGGCAGGGAGGCCACTTTATGGGCTGCTATTTGTCTTAAGGAGAAGACCAAGTAGGAGAGCCACTTGCTCTGTGAAGACTTTAGCAAGTCTCTAAATTCTCACTTTTACATCTCATTCCTAAGGTCCTGTTGCCATCTTCTGGATCAGAGCCAGTACCGTGCCACATTTCTCCTGGGCAGAGCGCCTTTACCTTCAGCCAGGATGATGCTATCCTCCCAGAAACTGGTAAATGTCAGCTGACGACCCCGCTTGCTTTTGAGTACAGTGGCACCTTAGCTCATGAACTTAATTTGTTCCACGATTCTGGGGAAGATGGCCATATATGTTCATGTGGGGCAGACAGTGGAGGTTGTGCTTGTCACCTGATGCAGAGGTTTGCAAATGGAAGCAAAATGTTTCCAAAGGCCTCTGTTTGCAAACTGAGATATTTCTGTGTTAGAATTTATTCTCTTTTATTCCTTGCTGCGTCTGCCATCTTGGACCAGGACCCTGAAGTAAGAGTTTACGGCCAATGGAGCACCTCTTATTCCCTTCTGGTAGCACAGCTAACATGAACTCCTACTGTTACTTGAAATACAGTAAGTAGTTCCTGGGTAAGGTGAAGAAAAAAGATGCATCAATTCTTTTTTAATGTAGATCTACAAATATATCAGAATAAACAGAGTAGAATATTTGACTTTAAAGTTGAATTTTAATAACTGGGAACTGAGAGCATAAATGTAGTGATCATAATTAGTAATTCTATGATTTTTCACCACTACTTCATAATATAAGGACTTTCAGAGGAAAGAACATCTCTTTTTCTTCTCATTTTGCTATAAATCTACCAAACTTCCATTGTAGACTGGTACTGAGAACTAATCACTTAAAACCCAGAATACTAAAAGTATCTCAAGTTCTATCATTTTATCACTTTTTTTTTTTTTTTTTTTTTTTTTTGGTATGGAGGATTGAACGCGGGTCCTTGTGCTTGCGAGGCAGGTGGTGGAACCACTGAGCTAAATCCCTGGCCCCATTTGATCACTTTTTATAGGTAGTTTTGATAAGAACTGGAGCTCCATGACTCCACGTGTACAGAGCTTCTCCAAAATTTAACAATTAGATATGGCTAATCTTTAGTTTCTATTCTATACTAACTGAATTTCTATAAATCTATCAACTGTAGTATTCTAAGATTTCTGTAGGAAGACAGGAGTTCAAAGGAACTTCAAAAGATAAGAGTTGGGTTTAATGCTTAAAAACAACTACTCTATTTTAGACACCTCAAATAAAGTAGACGGCAAATTTTCATGTGAACTCCTGATATTTCTGGTGACTGCACTTGCAGCACTTTTTCCTTTGGCAAATCTTTTTAGATGAAAAACCATGGAGGAAATTGTCAAGTTTTCTTTTATTTGGTCAAAAGTTTAAAGAATAAGGTATAAAAATGTAATGTATGTTTAAAACCAAGGTTTTCCACAGAAAAAGGGCAAACCACTATTACTTTAAAGATACTAATTTAAATAAAAAATTTAAAAATCATATAAATAGGTTTTTCCATACTTACTGGGAGAACAAGACCTCTCAGTGTGATTTCTCCAGTCATGGCCACATCTGAACGCACAAGCCGCCCACTAAAAAGTGAGGCTAGACAGGTTACTATGGTAACGCCAGCAGATGGCCCATCTTTTGTGACAGCTCCAGCTGGGAAATGCAGATGGATGTCGGTGTTGTCAAGAAGATCAAAACTCCCAAAAGCTTTAAAGAAGAAGAAAGGATTTTAATGTTAAAAAAATTAAGCCATTTTCTTCCCCCCTCCAAAAAAAACACAGAGATAAAAATGTTTCGGGTAAATGAATTCTACAAAATATCAATGGGCAGTACAATCAGAGTGAGGGTGTGGAAGAACAGGTTTGTTCTAAGGCTCAAATATATAAACTTTTGAAGTTACTTTCTAGTTTGGGCACTAAGCCAAGTAGTCCGGAATGGGTATGAGACTCCCCACAGGGGCTCAAGAGCAAAGATCTGCACTCTAATGAATATTCCTCTCGATCTGCGGAACAGAATGACAGCTGCCCGATCGCAACCCCAGCCTCTGCCCTGCTCGCAGCTCAGCCACAGCTGCAGCCCGCACCGTTGGTCAGGCGGAACCTCTTAGCGTTGCTGCGGAGCCAACTGATAGCAAGATGGGCCGACTCCTTCATGACGTCCCCCAGCTGGCCAGTCAAGGTTAGCTGGCCATCGCCGTCCATCCGACTTGCCTCCACAAACATGATCTTCCCACCCAAGGGAGTCCACGCCAAGCCTATGGCCACACCTGGCTGACTCAAGCGCTCAGAAACCTTGAAAGAAAGAAGCAGTCAGCATTAGGTCAGTAGATGTGGAGTTATTTTCAAACTGGCTAACGTAATCATACTGTCCTATTAAGTGTGCTTTTTCCATAGAAAACTTAAGCTATGTTCCTCAAAGGACTCTACACGATTCTGAGTGATACTTCTCACTTTCTGCCCCTCTGCCAGAAGAAATACCTAAACTTCCACTGACATTTATCAGAAGCGATTTTACCTGAAAACATGTAAACTGATTTTTCAGAGTCACATGTGCCCTAATTTTCAAGAAACTTTTAGTTTTAGCTATTTATCTTTACTAGGCTACATATTTATATATACCCTGGAACCTAAATTCATTGTAGATAATTAGGAATTTGTTCTTCTCGTACACTTCATAAGTGTCAGCTCCAGAGGTCAAATGTGAAGGAATGTATTACAAACCCCTAGCTCTGGCTTCTCAAACACCCACTGCTACTTTTCTGTCATCGCTGCAGAGAAACTAACTACAAGTCATTCCTGAGCAACGGCCTAGATTCTTCCCCTGTGACTGGAGTCTCCGGTGCTGCCTGGCTGCCAGAAACATGCCACTCACCTGTGGCTATGAGCCTGTGGGACTGACCTGGATAGCTTAAAGCAACCGAGTTACAAAAACACAAAATAACAAGAACAGCAAAGTTAACTCATGCCGCAATCTCCGAATTTCCTATGCTACGGGAGTCTGCTGTGTTCGTGGAACTGTGCTCAATATGCCAAGGCAGAGCTAATCCAAATGTGAGATTGTCTACAGGCAGGCAACAGCCTCTCAGGGAACAGCAGCCTGGCCTGGATTTCTGCTCAGAGGGCCAGGTTGCTGATGCTTGTTCCTTTTCCAGGTGGCTTAGACAGCAACAATTCTGATTTTAAAGTTTACTCCAAAATCGTGTGGCATCCACTGAAGATATTGGGAAACTAAAAGCATATTTTCAAGTTCCTTTAAAAATTATGATTAACTTCATAGGATGTGTTCCAGCCCTGAGACCCTTACAAACCTTTATCTTTGCTGAGCTGATAGCACGCACCACAGATCACAGGCAATTGCCCTGATTCAAATTTACTTGAGGAGACCACAAAAGACCAAAGGAAAGGATTAATACTATTTAAGGAAAACATAGAAACAACCGTTTATAAAACTGCCCACAATGTTTGTTTTGTTCTAATATAAAATCAGTTTGCTATACCTGAATGCCATCTAGCTCAGGCAGGAATTTGCCAGTTCTCCTTTCCTCCTTTCTAGGGCCAAGGGAACCCATCTTAAAGAATTATCTTCGATATACTAAATCAGGTTTAATTTAACACAGAAAGCCATTTGATTCAGTTTGGTTAGCTGTAACAAGAGTAATGACTTTCTTATAGCTGAATCCTCAAAACTTGTTTGTCAAAACAATTCTAAAAGGACATCCAAAGAGGCAGCAGCAAGATCCTCGACTACTATGCCGCCAGTCTTCTGACACTCTCCACCTGCTGGGCAGTCTTGGGGCTCTGCCAGAAGTGACTGGAACACTGTTAACCGGAAGGGGCATGGGGCAAACCCCAAGCATCCAGGCTCACAGCCACCATTAGGCCTCGACAGTAAGTGTTCAGTGCTAACCTGAAGACTAATGGCAAATGTGTGTGATCCAACATAGACACAGGTGGGAGAACTGAAACATCTTAGTTACTTTTCTTGTTGTTGGGACAAAATACCTGATATCCAAAATTCAAGGAGGAAAGGATTATTTGGTTCACAATTCATACAGGTTTCAGTTCACAGTTGGCTGGCTTCAAGGCAGGATGGCATGGGAGGGGGCATCACAGAGGAGAAACAGTCCATGGCACAGCAAGGCAGGCAGTAGGCAGCAAGCAAATGACAAGCAAGGACCTTCTTTCTGTCCCTTATATTCTATCCAGGCTACCCTCCCTTAGGGCATATAGCACTCCCACCCAGCTTGGGGCATTTTTTTTTTTTTTTTTTTTTTTGAGACAGGGTCTCACTATATAGTTAGTTGAGACTGACCTGGAACTCACTTTGTACCCAGGCTCGGCTCGAACTCACAGAGATCCTCCTGCCTCAGCCTCCCCAGTGCTGGAATTATAGGCATGCACCACCACACCTGGCCTTTTTTTTTTGTTTTTTTGAGACAGGGTCTCACTATGTAGTTGAGACTGACCTGGAACTCACTATGTAGCCCAGGCTGGTCTTGAACTGACAGCAATCCTCCTGTCTCAGCCTCCCAAGTGCTGGGATTACAGGTGTGTGCCATCACGCCCGACCAGGCATGTTTAACTCTAGCCAGAACCATGCTAAACCAGTCAGCGGACTAATTTAGTAATCACACACACTTGATCCCAGCATCACACATTCAATTCTAGTATCACACACTCTAGATCCAGCCATTTCTACCAAAGACCACATAAGGCTTTAGGGGGAGAAATCTAGATACATCACATGAAGTCACTACCAAACCCAGAGTCTCTGTAATCAAGACTAAGAAGTACAAAACTTAGACCTGGAGTCACAATCTTTGAGGCAATGTGTTCTTGCAATAAAACTGAGTGATCAGTACCCAGACCCCTCGTGTTTCTCCCTCAGAAGGGATAGAGTACAGACGCACAAGCTCTCGAGCACAAGGCAGTGCATCCCTTTATATAGGACAAGCTGAGGCTCACTGCATTCCTTACAAAGTGACTCAGCATCATCATCTCGAAACAGTGTGCCCGCCAGTGCTCCCCTAGCAGCATGCAGTCCCATTACCTCCTTGTGGAATCATTATGTGAGCCAAGACAGGCCAAGGCTTGAAGTTTAGCATGTTTCCCTCACTAGAAGTCAAAATGGAATGTGACTACCTCAAGGTCATTGTTACTCAACTTACCACTAGCTCTAGTAATAAGGTAAATATGCACACTGAAGAACACTTGAAATATTTAAAGAAAACCCTAATTAAGATCAGAATGGGACACATAATGTATGATAGCATTATTAATCCTTCAGTGGCACCAACGTTTAGGAAGATCTGAGAAGTGCAAAATCTTTGCCAATTTTGTACCTCTTTTCCTTTCTGATTACTGGGGGTAACTGGGGTGACAGGCGGGTGCGAGAGGAGAGGCTGAGTCTTGGGTTTTTTTTGAGGCAGGGTCTTGCTATGTAGTATAGTCTGGCCTTAAACTCACTATACAGCCCAGGCTGGCCCACTGCAATCCTCCTGCCTCAGCCTCCCAAGTGCTGGGGTTACAGGCATACGACACCATGCCTGGCTAGTGTCCTTTAATATTTCCGAGCAGGAAATATTTTCTGGCAGATAAGTGCCAGAAGGTGTCAGAATGGAAGGGCTGGCAGACACTGGGGAATAGAGCCTTCTTCCCAGGGATAAGCATGGGGCCATGCTAAAAGTGAAGCCTGGGCTGAGCTGTTGAAGAGCAGGCAGTGTGTGCAGGACTGTTCTGAAATGCTGTCTACAACCGTCTTCTTTCATAGCTCCTACAGCACTTTTTATTCTCCTGCCAGAGCTGTCACCAAGATAGCTATCCATTTGACAATGTCTTTGCAATGAGATCGTAAGCCTTGAGTTCAATGAATATTTGACTTCTCTTTGTGGATGTGTTTTGGTAGTGCTGAGAAAAGGCAAGGGAAGATCCTATTTCCCTTGCAGAGACAGAGCTGGGATCTACACCATCATTTCTTGAAAAAGTGGCATCGCTCAGCCAAGTCAGGTCTAATCTCCTTCTGCTAAGACACAGCTGTGGAGACAGCCTTTCAGCAGGGACTTTTCTGGGCACAACTTGTGGTCCCGAGGGCAGGCAGCTGGGCCAGATGGGGTGAACAGTACCAGGCAGTGCCAGGCAGCAGGGCAGCTGCACCGGGATAAAAAAGCAACTTCCTGCTGTGATTCTTCGGGGTGTTTAGTGTTTATATTCCTGCCCATATGCTTCTTGGTCCACTTCTCCTTTCTTTTTGTTTTTCTCTTGTCTTTTTTTTTTTCAGGTACTGGGGATTGAACTTAGGACCTTGCACTTGTGAGGCAGGCACGGCACCAATGATCTAAATCCTTGGCCCTTCTTTTTGTTTTTCTCATTGCCCATTTTTAGCAACTGATTTTAATGGCTTGGAAAGCAACCACGATGACAGAATCTTCGAATTCATCTTTGAATGCATTCTATTCAGGAAACTTGAAAAATCTGCAGGTCTGTCATCTTCCTTTTATTACTTTTTATTTATTTTTTTGGTCCCAGGGATCGAACTCGGGTCCTTGCGCTTGCAAGGCAGGCGGCAGAACCACTGAGCTAAATCCCCGGCCCTCCTTTTATTACTTTTTAAGGGCAGTGACCTTTGGATAAGGATGGTTCATACATTATGGTCAGATGCCAACAGTGAAGTTTTAATCCAAGGTAGGGGACTCTATAAACACGAATGGAGCCAGGAATCATCAAATAGCAGAGTCCTGTCCTCAGCCAACCAGATAGTGCTTTGTCACTTTGGGGAATCTAATGTAAAACAACAACAGCCTGATTTTCTTGCTGACCTCCTCTTCACGTCCTCTCCAGCAGGGTAGAAAAGCTTGGCTCTAGCTGCCCACTGGAGAAATCACAGGGCACAGCAGGAAAGGGGAACGTGGTTCATGCCCACGGTCAGCAGGTCCCTCTGCAGACCGGGTCGGAGCTGTCCCCTTCAGCTAAGTCTGGCCACACGAGTTACTCTGCTCTTCCTGTATTTTTTTTTTTTTTTGCACAGGGAGGCCTTTTATTCAATTGTATTTCTAAGGGGTTTAACTGATTTTGTTTCTGTAGGAATCTTTACGGTATTTGAAAGGTGACCTATCATCCGGTTCCTAAATTTGAAATCTAGACTAAGTTCCTGAACCTATTTTCTAATCTGCCTCGAGAATTCCAAAGGGATGTGGCTCATTACTGAAAAGTGTGCCTTCCTGCTTCTCTGTGCTGCCAGTTTGCTAGGGCTGTAACAGTTTCTGGTACAAATATATTTTTGTAGCTATATCTTCAAGGGAAGTAAAAATAATACAGGGTGGCATAACAATAATGAGTTATTGGCTGAGGATTTAGCTCAGTGGCACCTCACCCGCCTCACAAGGGCAAGGTCCTGAGTTCGATCCCTGGTACTGAAAGGAAAAAAACCAAAAAACAATAATGCGTTATTAAATGTGAATTAGGATAATTAGGATAATAAAAACTGGGTGTTTTGTGAATGTATTGCACCTGGCTATGGTGCTGCATATCTGTAATTCCAGCTACTTGGGAGGCTGAGGCAAGATGATTGCAATCTTGAGGCCAGCTTCAGAATTTATGAACTGCCTGTTCAAAATAGAAAAGCCTGGGAGTGTAGTTCAGTGTAGCATGCTTGTCTACCATGCATCAGGACCTGGGTTCAAGTCCCAGTAGCAATGGAAAGGCAAGGCAAGGCAGAGAAACAAAAACAGGTATACTGCAAATGAAAATCTCATGTAGAGCAGATGCCCTTAAAAAAAAAGGCGCCATACATCATTGCTATTGTTTGAGGCAAGAAAGAATAGGGACTGTTTTGGTCCCATGGGTGTTATGGAAGAGTGGAAAGAACACTGCAGCTGAAGCCACCTCATCTTGAGTCTCAATACTAATTCTAGTGGTTGTAATTTATATAAATTGACACATTTCATTTAACCGCTTTAAGATTTTTTTCCTTGTATGTAAAATGGAAGACTCCTAGGCACTGTGCTGGCCCACTCGGACAAAAAAGGTTTCATATATCTTGATTTCATAGATTTAGAAGTTAAGACAGAGCACGGGTCAGTAATATGGGACTGATGGTCATCAGAACACGACAGGTAAGAGACAGAAACCTCAGGCTTCAGGGTAAAAAGATGAGCAAAATGCTCCAAATCCTCAGACACCAGACCTTTGACTCTACGATTCCACTTATAAAAGGTGAGGTGGGTGTTAGTCTCCTTCAGTTTGCACTGTAGAAGTCACATGTAATAGCTGTGACTGCAGCAAGGGAAATAAAATAGGCTTCTCTTCTCCAACAACACCAAAGAGAGCTGTTAAGGAGTGTTTATAAAATTTCTCTTCTTCTGTCTCTTTCTTGGCCAAAGCTCCAGGAATGTCACTGATGCTTCCAAATCTAACATCAGCAGAAATGGCTGGGAGAAAAGGGTTACACGACAGAAATAGGCATCTGTCTTCACTTTTGTTTGTAGCTCTAGTTTAAATTCGCAAAGAACTTAGAATGCATATTTTCAGGAATGCCTAGAGAAAAAGGCCACGGGACCTACAGGAGCCAGGCCCCGTATGCGTCCTAACTCACAGAATCACTGATGCTTTCAGAACAAGAAGGTAAGTTTTATTTCCTTTTTAAACTTTTTTTTTGGTACCAGAGATCGAAGTTGGGACCTTACGCTTGTGAGGCAGGTGGAACCACTGAGCTAAATCCTGGCCCTTTAAATCAGGTTTGTTCACATACTTTCAACAGTTCAAAATTCAAATCCATAGTATTTCAAGAATCCAAACAACTATGCTTTTGAGTCTATTGCTAAAGTTAAGCTGTACTGTCAAGAGTAAACAAGTTCTTTTTTACATTTTTTGTTTTGCTCTTTGAGAAAGGGTCTCACTGTGCAGTTCAGGCTGTCCTCGAGCTCATGCCCTCCCAAGGGCGGATTACAGGCACCACCACACCTGGCTTTTTACATTGTTTTAAAAAAAAAGAGTAGACAAATTCTGTTCCTGCAACTTGGAGCTCCATAAAAGACTCATTAGCTTTAATGGTCAGCTCAGGGTTTAGATAAATAAGGTGGATTTGGGGGCTACAGGATTTCTCTTCTCCATAGCTCTAAGAACCTCTGGTAATGATTTTGAATATTAGATGGAGATATTATCTTATGCATTCATTTATCAGATTCATTTTTTACAATTTTTTTTTACCTAACTGACCTATAAAAGCTCATCTGCCCACACTATAAAGTATTTTCTGATGCCCTCAACAGTTGTGCTCTAAAACCTACTTCTATGTGGGCCTCAACTCAGCCCAGGGGTTCAGCCCTCTTGCTGTGAGATACAGTCAGAGGAT